CTACTATTTCACTGTTTATTTCGTCTATACTCATCTTCAAAATATTTTAAAAAAACAACATAATATAGGAATGAATATACTTATTAATTATTCTAAATTGAATTGCAATTCGATTTTCCCAATTCATTGTTAGTCGTTTTGCAGGAAGATGCATAAGTGACACAACCAAGCTAATTGAAACAAATGTTTTACTCTCGTTCACCCCACCCCCCACCCCCCCCCCTCCCACTTTAGTGCAAGAACTACGAATGCCACGAAACCATGCAGTAATTTTGAGATGAACTTCTGACCTTTGAAATAGCTAAATGCTTCGTCTATTTATTTTTGACCTTTATTGGAATACAAATTGTTCACTGTGTTTGCGCGTTTTCCAAAAAGTAAAATTTTCGATTTTTCTACCTTGTTGTGGACAATAATAGCCTTTTAACTTACATGAAATAGTATAATTATTATATTTAAACAATGCCAACAAGAAAATACTAGTTACCAAGCCGTCATTTTGTTTGGTAAGCTGCTTTCGATAAAAACTAGCCCAAAATAAAACTCAATAAGGTACCCAAACCTCTAATTCGCGAAACTAGAGAGGTAATGGCTGTCAAATTCTTGCCTGTTGAATGCTGTTATAGGAGATATTTGTATCAGAATGACATCTATGAAGCAAGTATCCCCCACTGATTTCGAAGGTAGCAGAGGAAGCATCAATGGAATTCTGGCTATCTGTAGCATCCTCCAAATTCATGGTGACATCACTGCCAAAGAATCGACCATCGTTAAGTGAGGTTTGTGATTTTGTGCTGAGAGCCGTAATTCGATCATCTCGTAAATCAATAAGATCCGTCACAGATTTTGGCGACACTGGAGATCGATTAGTTCGCCGAAGTATTCCACCACTGGAACTATCCATCTGCCTCGCATCTGTCGGTGGTACTGTAAGAAATCCTGACGGCTCACCAATATTCGATTCCTCCGATAAGGGCTTTGACAGTGTAGACTCATCCAGGAGATCTGAAAAAGAATTGTAATTATTAACTGCAAATAAGGGTTTCCATCTTTTTTCCTCAAAATCACGTAATTTAATGTAACTTAAATCACTGCTAAAAAAAGCAAGAAAATGAGAGCTTTTGAAGCCAATTTTTGTCTTTCTTTCCGGTAATAAAAGAGGAAGTGCTACTCTAAGATTGGATCAAAACCTACTAGGGTTTCCACGATTTCGACTATTTCTAGTGCAATCGTTTTAAGCCATTTGAGAATTTTAATCAAATAATTTATTAGAATGCGTATTTTTGAGAAAATTGTTGCTTTTTTGAACCACGGTTAGTTCAGCCTAACTAAGAAGTTCAAATGCTAGTTTATTATTCATATTAATGAACAATATACCCACTCCACTATGCCTATGCAAGTCGTGTGGAGCAGTTGAGGGCTTAAGTGAACGGAAACTTCACACTTTAAATTATGCGGCCTTATGCTCATTTATTCCATTAACATTAAGTGTATCGCCAGCACTACTTTTCGAACTATGAAAAGTGGTTCACAGTACCGTATTTACTGAAGAGAGCAAAATAGTTTGGGAGGTTTGGAAAACACCTCTCTTATAGCCCAACTTTTACACAAAGTCTTAACAAATTGAGAATTTGGTATTACTCCATTTACTCAAAACTATGCTATAAATACACCTGTATGAAAACTTCCCATATAGTTAATTGAGAGTGCTGAATTTTGCCTATCTGCATTTTTGATATTCCCTATTTCGCAAGTCAATTCATATTTGCCTGGTAACAGAAGAAAGCAGACATTTAAATTTACACAATTACGAAATTGGGAGTTGATGTCACTATTTGCCTGGGATTAATGGGGCTATTGGTTGACATGGGTTGCAATTTGCAATCCGTAAACTGCCTTTGCTCTTGTTCATACTATGTTAGTGTTCTCGGGTGTGTGATGGACTTACCTCCACGTGGTGGACCCTGGCCAACGTATACCCATACGGCAAAAAAAGTTTATTAATTGGCAGTTGACTTCTGACTTCAAACTACCACCACCCCACTGTATGTCATCTTTGACTACTTCTACAGCACTCATCTCACCTCTTCTCTACCTTTGTGCGTGTCTGTCTCTTTTACATCTGTGAATCACTCTTCTCTGCCACACCTCTCGACTTTCTGTTACCCTGATGTTCCTTCCCCCCTCTCGACTTTTTCTCACTTTGATGTTCCTCCTCCTCTCACTGTTCCCCATCCCTCGACTTTCTGTTACTTGGATGTTCCGTCTACAGCCCGAAGTCAGCTAAAGGGCTAATGATAACTATCAAAATGCCTGTCATTTGAAATAAATAAATAAATGCTAGTGTTCTTAATGCAAGCTATGTTACTGACTGTTAGAGAATCGGGCAATTTGTATATCCACAAAAAATTTTGCGGCTATCTAATCATCTCCAACCACCTCCTTAGCTAGCACTGTGGAGAAGTGCAAAATAAAATTTCCTTCCTTCAGCCTCAAGTGGCCAAGGAATAGGAGCAACATGCTTTAATGCATTCCGCCGACCCTCATTTTGACCAAACTAAGCAATTAGGGAGCAAGAAAATTGTCACGAAATTGGTTTGTTTAATGCATGCACGCATGCCTGCATGCGCGCATGGCTGATTCATTGAAAAGGTCATCCTCCCCCCTCCCCCCCTCCCCCCGAAATAAGTGAGAGAAGGGTGCATTTAAACACAAAATACACTTTCGACATTTGGTATTTTTTCTTCATCTCCAGTCGAATATCTGTTTATTGAAATGAGATAATGGCATTTTAATAACACCCTGGCTCTCTCTCTCTCTCGCCCTCCCTCCATCTTATAATTTGTAATATAAAAAGAGGTAAGATAAGTAAATGAATAAATACTTACTGTTGCCTTCTGCGAGGGTAGGATGTCCCATATCAGGTCTACCTTTTCCGTGACGGGAGAAACGATCCTGTTAATAGCAAAATAAAAATTAAATAGTATTAGAGCCCCTAAAAATTTTGTAACAGATAAAAAAATTTACCAAAAAAATGAATGACGTATTCATTGCGTATTCATCACAAAATTGAAATAATTTCACCAAGGGGACGCTATTAATTAGTTATCGAGCACCACATTTTCCATTGAGCCTCATTTCATTAGTATCGATTTTCAAAACGGTGATTTCTAATCTACCTCCCATGTTGTGAGTCCAGAAGTATGTTATTTGCTTACAAGCATATTATTTGGTTATTAGCCTATTTGAATTCTGCTTACTAGAGCTATTGCACTATCCTAGTGTCGAAAATTGTTTCAATGTGAACTAGCGCTCAATGCCAAATTTATTGTTTCAAAGTGACCCAGTTAAACGCTTATCTTATAGTATTAATAAAATTGAATACAGCACCATCATCATTGAATAACAGAATGGAAAAAAAGACTGCTCCGTGCTAGGTGTCTTGAAATAGCGAATTCAAATGCAAGTGAGCAAATTCAAATTGACTTTTTATGAAATCTCAATAGGAGTGCTGAACAAATGCGACCAAGTTGATAAGAATAACTTAACCAAATGAATACTCAGATACGTTATGAGCTGTTTTTTTCCTATTTTTAAGATCACTGAAAACACGCTATCATCTAACGTTTCTGGGCAAAGTGGAGCGGCCGTACACATCTTTGCATTTGTTAACGCACACATATTCAGTCAGAAGATTTGTATTCTCTTTCCTTTGCCAATAGTATTAATTTGAATGAATTTAATTTTATGAATCTAATCTCAGAAGTGGAACAGAATTTTGCCTTATTTTCGCTTTCTGTTGTTTTGAGCACTTCAGAAAATTTATCAAAATTATCACCTATTTTTCAGTGAGCTAAAACTCATCAAATTTAGGATAAAACTGCCATGAAAAGCAAACCGTTTATTAAATTACTTAAAAAATATATAAAGGGTAAATTTTATAATGAATTTCCTTCTGCAAAATTAATTCACATTCAAACTTACCTGTACATTTCCTGTTATCGCCACTGTCAAATGCAAAAATTAAAATATATAAATTAAATTGTATTGAATTTATTATTCATTTAAAGAGTATTGAATTTCAGCTTGTCAAGGAAAAGTGAATAAGGCTAGCTAAACGTATGCTAACTATCCTACTGGATATTGAAATAACTAACGAAAGTATGGAATACTGTAACCTTTGACCTCAAAGGTTTATTTTATTATTACATTTCTGCATTGACAGGCGTTTTCAACAGTAGGAACAGAATTTATGCATTAGCTTTTTACCATAAAGTTGATAATATGTGAAACTTCAAAGCTTAAATTCTAATTCGTTTCTACTACTCAATGGGTAATGTGCCCGGTTCCAAGGTCAGATGTCATGGGTTTGTTGGGAATCGGTGCCCCTCCAATGAGTGGCATGTACAACCCCAACGGTTATGCTAGGGCTATTACTAAGGGAGGCACCAAGTCGCACCTCCTTACTCAAGATAAATTTTGAAAAATGCTTTTCTAAATAACTATGTGAGTAAATATTTAATAAACTTCAAGTGGCATTAATTGAAATCCTAACTACTATCAACTTGCTGTATTTGGCTAATAGAAAAGAAGAAAGTATCATGTTGGTGTGATCGATTCTCAAACTCTGAACTCTCCCGCTCAGAGCCCTAATATTTAAGTCCCAATATTTGAACTGTGAAACTCCAGAACATAGCACAGTAACTATTGATGACACAATGAATACAGATTTAATTTGAAATAGTGCTCAATGTAAGCCGACAAGTTAAGGTTGTTAGTTTTATGTCTTCCAGTTCTCACCCTTTCCCTCTGGTTATATCAAATTTAAGTTCCCTAATTTTGATATTTTAAGCAAATTTTATCAGAAATTCGTTTTCGTTATTTTCAAATTTTGAATAGCCAATATTTACTAATTAAAAAGTAGAAAAATTTAGATGGTGATAAATGATTATACCTTCTAATTATTATGGGTAGGATTGAGAATCTTACTTACAACCAATTTATTCAATTTTTATCGAAACAACGTTATTTATTTGCATGCACAGAATAAGAGCCTTAATATTTTTACTCGCCTTTATCTCAAACACCCCAATTTTCTTCCCAGTTCTGCCACTTCCCGAATCCAAAGAGGACTTTACATTCTGTTTCCGTTTGTAAAGAGTTCCAGAAGGTATTGTTGAAGAGACAGCGGCAGTATCAGTTAGTGTGTCAGCAGTATGTGAAAATTGTCGGTGAAGCTCTAAAGGCACCGAAGCGGCCTCTGAAGAATGACCTGGTGGAATCACAGAAGTCGACACTACCTGACCCTCATTCCCAGTTGTAATATTTGATTGCTGATCGGAACTCGAAGATTTTTGCGAGAAACTATTCGATTGCTTTTCATCAACACAGGCACCACCACCAACGGTGAAAATTTTTCGACGACCTGTGAGCAAATTGAGGGAAATTTTATTAGTGTAATACAAAGACGAAAAAATTAAGGTAAGTCATTGTTTTACACACCAGCTGCACTCAAAAGATCTTGTTCTTCTGATTCCTGTTCTTGAGAACCCCGAGGTCCAGCCGCATTACTTCCTGGAGTGGTAAGTGTAGCAGTCGATGGACAATTCACAAACGGTGAACTCTGTCTCTGAGAGGGTGCCAAATTAGGCATTGAGAGACTTCTAAGAACTCCAAACTCGACAGCTTGTCCCGTTACCCCACCTGCCTCAGTGAAGAAGGTTTCAGGAAGAGTTGCGCGAAGATGCTGAAATCTTGACTGTACATTCGCCTCAGCTTTTTCCCGCTGGCGTTCATGCCGTAGTAGTACTACACGTCTTTCCAAATACCGAAGAGCCCAAACAGCCCCAGCTTCTGACCATTCCGGCGAGAAGAGACAGCGCATTACTGCCAGATCACAGTGACTAGCTAGGACTGTGTCTGTAGCCATTAACTCCTTCACAACTGTTTGGGTTAAGGTTTCTATTTGTTCCTCTAGTGTCTGCTCCTGTAAATTAAAGCATAACATAAAAATAAGTAATCCTTTCTCTTTAAAGAAAATGAGTAAAATGGCTCACATGATGACTTCTATCCTCGATGCCATTCGAGCAACACGACTCTGTCTCCTCCGAGTCTGTATCCTTCAAACTAACTGGACAGATGTCATTGAGTGAGGCCATTGGGACAACTGGACGATTGCCGATTTGTTTTGCAGCGCTTGATCCCACGGGAATGGAATGACGATCGTACCAAGCGGAGTCCTAAAAGAGCGAAAAAAACTCATGTCATTTTAATATTCGCGTCTTCAATGGCGCGAAGAGGTTGCAAAATGAACTGCTTGCGTATTTGTTTTTTGTTTCGCTTGAAAATGATAAATTTTTAGCAGAAACATTGCTCAATGCTGTTATCTTGTAAAAATTACACTTCAAGTGGGAATATGCTGACAATTATTTGCCCACTATCATTTAGCAAAATAATTTTGATTTAGCCAAAATAGTGCGACGAAAAAAATAACAATTAAAGCAGTGTTTTAAAAAACTGCCTTTTTGGAATTATTTTGAATTATTTTCTAAATTTTGCCAAAAGGCTTACTTTGTCCGTTCTATTGAAAAAATTCCCTTTTCAAAATTTTTTTGTTCGAATATTTCAATCAGGAAATGTGATTGACATGAAATATACGCATTTTAAAGCAGCCTCATTATTTGAACACCACCATAGATCACGTTAGGCCTATTTAAGGCATTTGACACTTGCCGGGAAATAGAAATTTTGTAACGATTATATTCATGTTTTCTTGAATTAAAATAGAGGAAATACTTGCTTGGTACTTGAAATACAAACAAAACTGGGAGCCTTTAGCTGAAATATTTTGTTTTGCAGTCTAATAAATTAAAACTATCGCTTTGAAACGCCAAGGTTATTTATGAAGGGAAGTTTCGGTAGTTCTGATAAGTTTTTCTCCACATCACAACTTAAATTTTACTTTGCATACAGACCGATCGCATTTTAGAAATGAAAAAGAGATTTGACACCACTTCTGAGCCCTTATGAGATTGCAAATTTACCATTTTTTCTGTCGTTGTGCTAATAGGAACTAGCCAATGGAATATATTTAGTTACATTAATGCATACCAGTGTGCATGTATGTCGGCACACCGAGTAGTTTAAGTCTTAAATGGACATAAACATCTCAAATATCTCATGCCAATAACTCTCTAAGTGCTGAATCATTGAAAGATACTCAGGAAGCAGGACCGAAAGCATCTTTAGATGCAATTTCTCTTCTAGTATTACTCCTTATTGGTGATTAGAACAATCAGCCGCAATTCGTTGTCAGATATCTAAGTTAATGACCACTGACTAGGTAGATTTGGACAGTAAAGACGATTTAGCTCTCAGGTAGTTTAATTTCTAGTCATATTGAATATTTCCTTCAAACCTTACCTCATCCGATGACTCAGCATTTGGAATTTTGAGATCTGGAGAAGTTGGGTAGAAAGGAGCTGCGGAATGAGGCACAGGCTTCCTACTGCCAGCTTCAAGTCCTCCAAATTCTCCCTCCTCAGAAAACCCTTCACCAAGACGTTGAAAAATTTCCGGTAGTGGTCCAAACTGATCCACATAGCTTTTCAGTGGGTTTACATTCAATTCCTCATCGTATTGGCTAGAAGGGGTCTTTACAGGCACTGGAAAGGAACCTTCATAAGGCTGTCTAAACAGCATTAGTGGAGCCCATAACCGAAGTCCTGATTCCAGTTTCAGTGTCTCGAAATCCTCGCATTTAAGACGTTCTAATACTGGTGCGAAGAGGTAAATAAAAAGTTGAAGACTTGCGAGATCATGGAGATAACCTCGCTCGCGCTGCGCGTTTACTGAAAAAACGAAAATATATACATTGGTCAATTATGAAAGTACCGGGTGTGATGGTATCTAAAGTAAACAATTAAACAATATATTTCGCTTGTATTTGTTTATTCTCCTTCTTTTAATTAAGAAATTAATGCCGTTCTTGCTGAACTTCCATGTTCATCGGCTTTCTATTCTTCCTACAGAGATTTCATTGCTCTAAATTCTAAACTCGAAAATTTCCCTTTGTGGTTTTGGGTTCTTTGTATTTCAATTGTGTTATGATAGAAAAATACTCATTAGTATAGTCCTTAATCTTCGCCAAAACCGATTTTTACTCTTCATTAAAATGTCATAACCTGATTCGAAAATCGATAATTCTATATCTAACTTCCAAAAATACCATCTCAAAGGACATAAGTGTGTTCGAAGTTTTAACTGAGGAGAAAGGAAGGGCGAATAACTCGGAGAATAGCTCTGTTTAAAAAGCTAAATCCGTTTGCTTTTAGAATACCTCGTGGAGATCGGTTAAACAAATTAAATCGATATCAACTCCATTCTTAGCAGCATATTTAACCCAACAAGATTGACATCGATGGTATGTAATCTTTCGGCCTACTAAGGGGCCATAGTCATTCAAATATTGATTTTAATTACCTGTTTGTTTAAGCCAGCGGAAAGCGCTAAAGTGCTCTTTCGAGGGGAAAGTCTTAATAAAAAAAAATGTATGGATTAATGCTAAAATCGCAGGCTCTTCTGGAGAGAGGAAAAGAAATTGCACTTTACGAGTGTATGGTGGGTAGTCGTGAAGGAAGAAAGTCGACAGCAAAGCTCTAGACCAGCTAAGTTTTGAGTTGAGAGGCAAAGCGTAACGAAGGGAAGGGAAGGAGGGGGGGGGGGGCGCGGTACTTTTGTGTTCGCTACTTCTGCTATCTCCCCGCAAGTCACGTTAAATGATCAGAGGTAGTGTATACTCGAATATGTTTGAAGTAATATATGCGAACGAGTTAACTGTCACTAGGTAAAGTGCGCATTTTATTCCTTAGTAATTACTATTACATTAACTTCCACATTCCGAAAGCTGATACCTGGACTAAACTCTTCTTGGTACTGTTTTTTTGCTTGTTTGGAATTACATTAAAAGAAAACTTTCATATTTAAAAGAAATAAGAAAATATGTACAATGCTCATTCGGTATCATATGCTTGGAAAAAAATTTCTAAAGGAGCGTTTTAACTATATATAAAGTGGTTTTAAAATTTATTTTTTTATTAATGGAGCATCAAGATTTCCATTCTTAATTTCTTTTTTTTAATTTGATTAGCATAATTTTATATCTTAGCCTGTCCTGCTTAATGACAGTTTTACATAAGATGGTACGTTAGGTGACCTTACAGATGCGAGCTTTCAGACAAATAAAATTGCTTTCTGAACATTCAGCTGAAGAAAACGAAATAATTGCAAGTAAAATCATATTCAATGCCATTTTCGACAGAATTGATCTAATAAAACTGAACAGAAACAAATATTTTAAGCAGTACGATTTTGGAGTAAGTGTGATGAGCACAGCGCTACAGAGGCTGAACAAAGAACAGACTCTCAAAGGTACTCCGTGCCACTGATCGAGTAGGGAGTAAGTGTAGTGATGAGTGCAAAGACCTCTAAGCCATCTAGCAATCAAAAATCACTTCATTCTTAGCCTATAATTCATTTTAGTTCAATGACTGCGTTTTGAGACAATGGCACGACCATACTAAACGCTAATTATACAATATAATCCACTTCTTGTTGTTTACTGCTGTGGTGCCTTAGCTAATTTTGGGAGGAATTTCATATTATATGACTGCCACAAAGATTTCGGATCTTTATTCAAGGCTTATTTGTGTATGATTCGATGCAAATGATATTGATTACCAAATTAGCTCCGAAGGATATTTCTAATTTACAGATTCTTTATTTATTTATGCCAAATGACAGGCGTTTTGACAATTATCATTAGCTCTTTTGTTGACTTCAGGCTTCACAGAGGGGAAGGAACATCAAACTTAAAAAAAGTTGAGAGAGGGTAGAACAGAAAAGTTTTTCAAATGTGTAAAAGAGACAGATACAAAGGTAGAAAAAAGGTGAGGTGAGAACTGTGAAAGTTGTCTAATATGACATACAGTGGGGTGATGGTAGTTTGAAGTCAGAAGTCAACTGCCGGTTAATATCCTTTTTTGCCGTATGAGTATACGTTGCCCAGGGTGTTCCACGTGGAGGTAAGTCTACCGCACACCCCTGTTTACAGATTATAAATCCTCAAATTTCGCATTTCCTCACTATCTACTGTCATATTGGTAACTATTTGTGTCTTTGACCAAATCGTACCCTAGGTTCGAATTTGATTTAATTTTGAGGTAATATAAAATTTTTCAAAACTTGACGTATATCAAAATCCACAATTTAAACTCTACCGTTATTTACACAACTTTTATGAACTTACTATAACCTTCATGACCAAACCAGAAAAATTTTAAACACATTTTTGCCCTCTCTCCCTCCCTCACTTTGAATGAGGAAAGAAAAATTGACTGGTCACCCTAATTGGCCAAAAACATTGGACAACGTGGATGAGAAAGTCCTCAGTGATCCGTGGTAGGAATAGTTAAATTAGAGTTTTAGAAAGTCAAATTCAGTTGAGGTAAGAATTTAGATACACACCCTTTTCTCAATATTTTTATGTCCCTTCCCTCTACTTTCATTGACTTTACAATGATATCCTAGACTCACTTGCCTTGAATTTTGTTTATAATATCCATTTACAGTTGTTGCAATTCCGAATTCAAGTGAATGCGATACTACGTTCTTAAAAATTTATCATATATATAATAAGATAGCCAGATAATGTCTTTTTCCTATTGAGCAGGAAATGAGAAATGTCAATTCTAATTACTGGAAGACAGGTTTTTTATTTTAAGATACGATGAAAAATGCAAGGCTGAGAATTTATTTAAGTTAAAAGATTGGAACTAGTTCTGCTGTTGCGCGGCTTATCAGTGTGTAATCAATCAAAAGAAAACCAACCTACTGTTTTGAAAAATGACGCTTTTGAAATCAAGAAATTTTTGACAGGGCCATTAATATCGAAGAGGAAAAATGCTAAAAGGTGGTGCCTAAGTTGATTGCAAATTCTTTTATTGCCAACCTCATGGCATCACGTTTTAGCCCATGAAAGTCCGCATTGCTTTCCTTAGGAAAGTTAGTAAAGTGTTTATCTTTTTGCAATCGATTTCATTTTAATTGGCAATGACACAATATGAAGCTGAAAAGTTGATGATTAAAAATTTTTCTAAAATTCTCCGCAGGAAAAATAAGTATTAAACTACGCATTGTTCAAATAAATCTGATAAAACTGCTCTTGAGCAAATGGACAAATAATTGATAAGGTCTTGTGGTCATAACATACTTTTTATCTGTAGAAAAATCGATAAGTCATGCAGCAGTAAAACCGATGATGAATAAAATAAATAGCTTAATATCATTTCTAAACCTAATACTAGATAATTCAGACATATTCATTTTTAAAAATCAGATATTTTATAAAAAGAAATTATGCGAATTACTCACGTGTTAAATCTCTATTTATCGTTTTTTTAGTTTGTTATTTACAGCAAACAAGCACAAAAGTTTAGAATTATTGCAAATCTATTGAAACTCGGGTGTGTCCAAAGGAAAACATTAGCTCATTCCTCTAATGCTTCGGATATTGACAAATTTAATTTTCATCTTTATAAATCAATTGCTTTTACCTGTAGGAGCAAATAAAGCATCCTAAAGAAGGCTAGATAATCGTTTTTTGTGACGACACCATAACTTTTCAAAATGCCTTAAAAAGACCTCTAATCACTTTGCTCATCGATATTCATTTGATCTGGTCTCTCTATTTAAAATTATCATTAATTATACCATCAATCTTCCAAACAATTTTATGCCATCTAACTTGGTCAAAATAAATAAAAACGAGTGTGAAATATCGAAATGAAAATGACAGATATTTAAATTAAATTTGGGAGCATAAAGTGAAGAGATCTAAAAAATAATTTAATTGAGAAAATCTGAAAAGTTAAATGTAAATATTTAAAAACTCCAAGAATTCAAAATTTTTATGAAGTGTAAAATTTAAAAATAATTTATTTGGTTTAAAATTTACCTTTGAAGTTTGGATCATTATCGGCGCATTCTGAGGCGGCGTCTAGAAGGAGCCATTGAAGCGTGTAGAGGAGCTTTGTCTCAGCCTGATCGAACTTTAAGCGTGGTCGAAGAGCAACAGAGTCCTTGCCGTGAGTTTGAGCCCTCCGGTGGCTTCCTTTGGAGGTCTCTCCAACTACAGAGGGAGTGCGCTTCAGATGTTGTCGAATCATTGTTGCCGTGCAGTGCAACACATGAGGCAATGCAAATCGAACCAGATGCCATCGTGGTATTGACTGAATCGACTCGCAGACATTTGGTGGAAGACCGTATAAAATATTCTGCACAAGAACGCGCTCAAAATTCTATAATTTAGATGAATATTAGCATTTAAATTTCTAACTTAGTTAACTTTTCGAAAACTTGTAAAGGCAAAGTATTCGGCAACAACAAAAATATATCAGATATTAAATGAAAATTTATATAAAGTAAAAGTTTCGAAAGAATTAACTGGAGTTAAGACGCCAATAAATACTGAAACTTTCTATAAGTTAAAGAATGGACTGTAGAGCTTAAAAATAACCGCAAATAAAATTTTAAATTGTACCTTCTACAAATAAATTTCTAATAGAACTTATTATTGAACATTGGCTTATAAATCTCTTATAATCAGGAATTTAAGATAATGAGTAATCATAACAACATTATTATTCATTTTATAAGATTACTCACCACACACACACTATCTTTTGTTTTCTTCGATTGTATAAATGAACTAGAAGAAATATTGGATGAAAACGGGTCTTACCAGGTGTTTGATAACAAAAAGTTTTGAATAGGTAAAGGTATATAATTTAATCCGTGAATCATTATTTTAGAAACTTATTTCTCTTTTCACATTGCCGCAGTTATGTGACCTCTAAATTCATTTAACTGGGAGGTTATAACAAAATAATGGATCTAGAAGTTTTGTCTAAGTTAGTGATTTTAAAAGAAGTAAAATTATCTACCTGCAAAATTTTTTATAAGCTCCATATCACATAATTTACAATAATTTTGAATGATTCATTTCATAAGTATCAAATCTTTGAACTCTATTAGTTCTAGTAACTTTCTAAATATTATCAACATTTCCTGTTTTAATTTCCTCATAGAGATTGGTAATATAGCATGCTATTTAAGCTTCTAATATAATATTTTATCAGATCTGAGAATCTATGTTAAGCCAACTAACTATGATCAATTTCCACACTATCACATACTTCGTTATAGGCTTCCAAATCTACTGGTTTAAATTATCATTATTGTTTGCTCTTATTATCCGAAGTAATTCAATAACTTTAAAATAATATATTCAATTGATATTCAGGATTTTTTCGTTTATGTGCTAAGTTAAAATAATTGAATCCCCATTTATTTACCGCGTAGACGCTTTACCAGTCTTCATATCATTGTTTGATCTTGCCTAATTTGTTTCACGTATTTATTTGTTCTATGTCATTTTCATGCTCTTTGCGGCTTTCTTAGAACTTTGCTAAAGCTTTACTGTAATATGCAATGATAAGTTCCTCCGGATCCCATAGTTTGTAGTATTCCTACATCTCTATTATAATGATACTCCTCTTTTAAATATGCCAATGTAAACTAAAATTACTTCAACGTGACTTATGTGGTTAACCAAAGAGCTAAGAAGCTAAAATTCGAATGCTTTATGGCATGTTTTATAAAATTAAGCATCCTATAATATTTATAATGAAAAAACGCAAAGATGGAATTAGAAATGACACGATGATTGAGTAAGAAAAAGGGGGTAATCATGGAAAGTGCATTACAACTCGATTCGTGCCAGTGGCCTCTTAAAGAGTGTTTACGATCCCATGGCTTAGCGATTGATTGTGCATTTTATGTGTTTTCGCCTTTAATAACTGAATCTAAGTTGCTTGTGTACATAAGTCTTCTTTACGACAATGATCTTGTTTAGTGTCTCTTTTCAGACGAAGAATAAAGACTAATGTGACTATAGATGGTACGCCTACAAACTCATTTCTGATGGATTTTGTTTTTGCGTCGCCCCTCTTCCTCGTGTGGAAAGCTAATAGCCACTACAGGCACCACAACAAGGTGTCGCAAACAAAGAGCACAAGGGTAAAAAAATCGGGAGAAGACGTCCGCGCAGGTCGAAGCAAGCAAAATTGTCCAAACCAGGATGATGAAAGTCGATCGAATAATTGAAAATATTCAGAAATATCTTTTAAACTGAAGGAGTTCTCCTTCATACTCCCTGGATTATGTATTTACCTTGTGGGACACTTCATCAATGACCAATAGAAATCCTGCTA